CTGATCAATCTTAGCAAGAGAAGAATTATGTGCTCCACATGCAAAACCATAGATTTTGTGAACAAGAAGAGGTACAACAGGTGGACTGACGATAATAATTGTCAGAAGAATTGGAAGGGAAACAACAGGCATGATGATAATCAGCGGTATGGATCTTATTCTGTATATAATCATCCTGTTAAAAGCGCGGAAAAGAAAACATCTAATAAAAATAGATGGTTTAGCACTTATAACATCCCACAGCCTGATACTAACAAAGAAGGACCCAAGTTCGTTTGGGTACCAAAATCTATTTGATCTGATTTTGCAGGTGCGTCATTACAGCACTGATCAGAGATTCATTCATATGATGCACAAATTCAGGGGGAGGTTGTAACTTGTTCAAACAAAGGCTTCTAAACATTCAGTTCAGGACCCGTGTTTAAACGTTGTGGTTTCTAAACACCTAGTTTAGGACCTGTGCTAAAAATGTTTCCTTTATTTTCTTTAATTTTTGAGCTGAATCGAAATATTTCTTAAATCTATTTTCTAGGGGGAGTCTCTAGAAATTTTAATAAAAGTTTTTGGAAAATGATTTATTTTTGGAAACGAGTATATCTTCTGAACAGGTATTTCCTGAGATTTTACTTGTGTAATTTCTCATCGATCATAACTCCAATACCTGCTTTAGCTATTCTTGAAACTTTTATTATCACGTCTTGTAAATAATATCATTTTCAGTGATAATACGCTCGTTAGTACTCAAAGGTTATATTTTTCTGATTTTTTTTACCTTGATTGATATACATTCATTACTTCTTTGAAAATCAGAATCTGTAAACTTGTTCTTACAGATCTTCATTCATTTCTCTCGCATTCTGAATAATATGATTATTGTCGTATCACTTCTTTATTGATCGTGCTTAAAAGCCAAATATCTTGATCAATTTTTTATCTGATCATTGTGCTTTATTTGCAATAACATTTTGATCAATCATTGTGATCAACTGAGCATACTGTAATGTTAGGAGGGACTGAGTGCTTAACAAAAATACCTCTATGGAATGTCAGAACCGACAGACCTACCCAAGAGGACAACCATATCTGAGTGAGCTTTAAATACACAAGGGTTTGTGTGCAGAGCTTAAAATGAAAATGAGAGGGGTAGTTGTTGTGAGACAAAAGAATTGACGAGAGTTGTGTCAGGATTAAAAGAACATAAGAATCCTGTTCCAAACTTCTAAATTCTGGGCATACCATGTTATCTATTAGTTCTTAATTCTTTCGAGACTAATATTGAAAAAGGCAAAGCCCAGTCCAATTCTTGTCACAACCCCACCAGCTACTCATTTATCTCTTAACAGATAAGTGTTTCAATAACACTTGGGGCACGTAGCTCACAATCTATCAATTTATCATTCGGAGAATTTTGATATTGAAACAGAAGGATATATGTCCTCCCTTCAAGTCTTTTTTATCACGTATTGAGTCTGATAAATTAGTGTAGTCTACACGGTTTATCTTTTTGAGCTTAAACAAAAGCATATGTTGCTTTATCTTTCTACACTACACAGATTTTGCAAATTATATGTTATTTTGCCGAAACATTAATAGATATTCTTTTATAAGTTATCGATGATTGAATGGAAGACCTGGTGAGATGAATCTCATAAAGTCTCATATATATATATATATATATATATATATATATATATATATATATATATATATACAGCACATCCGTTGTACTGAGTATATTTGTTATACTCACAAACCACTCTTTTTATAAGATTGAAAATAATTTCATACATTGAAATTAGCTGTTACCTTTCCATTCCCTTTAATCTGAAAAGATTAAACAAGTGGATTTGAAAAGATCTGCTTACAATTTCATGAATTGACGGTTTTTGCGGAAGATTTCATTCATTCTTGTGTATGATGTAATGATTCTTATTTCATTATAAGGGGGAGTATGTAATAATGAATGAAATGTTCAATTCCGAACATTATAAGGGGAGTTTGTTGTAAAGATCAAGGGGGAGTAACATCAATGGCAAAAGACTCAAAAGAAGTACGACTAGAGATTATTACTGAAAATTATTCCTGTGCTACAATGTCTGAGAGTTTTTGAATGTGAAGATAATCGTTTCAAAAGTTTACTGACAAAGATTTCTTATTGAAGCAAGTTTGTGAATTTTTTTGTCTAAAGAAGTTTGTTTTTGGAGAGAATGTTACTGATTTGTTTGTCTGAAGATTTTTGAAGATCGTATATTGATGATCATATATGAAGTTCGTTACTGATTTGTTCTACGTTGTCAAAAGAGAAGATCATCGCTATTCTACATTCGAGGAGGAGAATGTTAGAAGATTTTCTCAACAAACGATCATCTGAAGATTTCAAGTGAAGTTGTTTTGAAGTTTTTGAAGATGTCATAAAGAGCTTAAAGTGACAAAGTTCAAACGAGATTCAAAATGCGCAAATTCTTTCAAGCATGAATACAAAGGGGGAGAATGTTAGGACTGAAATTCAGTATTAATTGTATTCGTCATGAAAAGATATAATTGTCTATAATTAGAAAGTCATCGTGTTTGACTTTTCTTATGTACTTTGACTTTGACTAGAGGGTATTGTTTGACCCTATATATAGAGTTTGTCTTGTGTAATTTTTGTAAGGAGCTTCATTGTAATATCAGTTTACGTATATTGAAGTTTGGCCAAGATTGGAGCTTTGAATTTTTCTCTCATCATCTCCTTCATGTTCTTAATTGCTAAATCGTAGATATGCCATGGATTGTTAATGAAATATTGAAGATTGATCTTAAGAGGACTATCATCATCTATGAAAAATACATGTTATATGTATAAATAAAACAACGATCAACTATAACAATACATACTTATGCTATCTTGTTTAGAAGTACCACTTGGATTCTTGTTTTGAATTTGATTGATACATTCTCATAATTTTGTGGCAGCTTTCCGAATGCAAGACATTTTCGTTTCTAATGATCTTCTTGGTCGAGTATTGGTTGTGAACGACTCAGTTGCATGATATTGAGTTTCTATTATTGCCTAAAACTTATCTTTTGATTGGTTTCTACTTATTATTGGATTTTGAGATACATCAAGATAACAATGACGTAAATGTATATCTTCGTTATCTTTGTAGGCTGAACTTGGACTGATGTATTTTTTTTATGAAATAATATGTGTGTGATTTAGCTTACTAAATCACCCACTATTTATACACAAAATTTTCACTTCACTCCAAATAAAATCTCCATGTCAATGCGAAAAATCTGATAAATGAAGGTAAATTAGACAACATGCTGAAAAGGCTGGTAGTATTTTTCTGAAAGGCTGGTAATATTCTTCTGAAAAGCCTGGTAATATTCTTTTGAAAAGTCTGAGAATGTTTTAAAAATCTTGTTGGTCCCGTTAGAGTCAACGAGATATTTAGAAACAATTTGTAGAAGGGGGGGGGGATGAATATAAACACAGTAAACTTTTCAAATTTAAAATATATATTGATAAAGAAAGATCAATACAGATTTTACAAGATTGTATGCAGAAAAGATAAGGTAGATAACTTATCTAAACAATCTAAGTTAGTCACAAAAGTTCTTAGCAAAGAGAAAAGTTTGCTGTTTAAGACTAAGAAGAAAGTGAGTTCTTTCTGGGTAAGAACTATTTAAAATACTTGAAAAGGGATTCTAACTTGCTTTGAAGATAAATGTAATGTGTTCTTAGATGTGTGTGTGTTCTTTCACGTATGCACGTAAGGATTAGATAGTATCTCTGCGTGGAGATAAAACACATCTATTTATACCTATTGCATTAAATGCACATTTAATGCAATGCAGTAGGGTTTGAACATGCGTCAAGCCTTTAGAGAAAGACTTGTCATTTGCTACAGTTAATAGTACAAAAGCCTATTCATGAGCAAACATCCTTTCATGGAGTTGCTGGGTAGTAGAGTCAACTAATCGGCCCGTGTCGTACTACTCTAGAAAGGGTATGAGTTTGTCCTTTGTGTGTGGAAGGACAAGACAAAAGCAATCTTGCTCAACAAGCTTCTTTTGATCACTGAATGCTGGAATAACCCTGAAAGTCTCTTCAGCATTCGCTGAGGCTGGGACAGTCTTCACACATATATAGACCAGGTTGTAATCATTGAATGTCGCTTCAGATCACGAATGCGCCAGTCTCTAATCTTTAGCCCTACATATGTGTGTGTGTATATATATATATATATATATATATATATCAAAAGAAACAACCGAGGATATGATAAAGCAACTTCGTATCATATATAATATTGATTTAGTATCTAATATATGATCCTCAACCATTTATCTTGAATATATTTTTTAAAAATTATCATCTTCTTGTAAAGGGATGTTTGTTTGGCTTTTAATGGTGACATTAAGAGGAAACCTTTTAAATGGTAAGAGGCATGGACTGTTTGGCAAAAAAAAAATGAACCTTTTAATGGTTACAAAAACCTCTTAATGATTTTATGTCTAGGGCTCCATTAAACGGTTCAGATTTCAATTGTTCCAAGTTTGCCCTCCCTTCCAGCTGCTCTTCTTCACGTCGCCTTCCCAAATCCCATGGCTTTCTCGGGATGCATATATACCATTATGCGACCATTTTAAACAAAAAAATTGGTTGCAAAATAGTAGAAATGTTACTGTTGAGGAGAAGATAGCTATATTTTTGACAATTATTGGCCATAACAAATGCTTTAGAATGGTTAAACGGAGATTTCAGCACTCCACGAAGACTATTCATATAAACTTTTCGCGAAGTGTTACGAGCAATGATGAAATTTGCAAAAGAAGTTATACGGCCGATATTCTCTGAGAAAACGCAAAACACATCAAAACGTCAAAGGAACCTCCGAGGAATATTTCCGAATTTTTTTAATTATATTTTGTAAAACCAACTCGCAATTTGAATACTACTTTACTCTTTAATTTTAAAATTTAATCACTAGTTTATTAATAAATTGAATCAGTTATCTTTGCTTGCGTTCCAACTTCCAACAACGGGTCTATGGCCTTTGTCCACACATGAACTGAATCACCGTCGCAACATCAAGAGGAAATACAGTGTCATCGGTAAGTCAAAGCAAGATCATGCTACAACTACATTACATTTTTCATTCAATCCGTTGAAAAGTTTCAATCTTTCCCTATTTTCACTTAAACCCTAGAATATTGTTGCATCTTAAACCCTCACACCAATATCTATATTCAGAGTTTCTTTGATGTTATTGTTTATGCAGAGGTATTTGTTGAAGATCTTGATTTGTTTGAGATGGAATTGGATGATTTTGAACCCTTATTCGGTGAACCCAACGTAGAGTGGTCAGCTGCCACTGCCAGCCAAGTCACGACTCCCGTCCGTCCATTCTTGTTCCAAATTCATGCTCCCGACTCTTCTAGCCTCGGAGTTAATGTTACTGACTTTTTCTCAAACAGTTTTGGGGCAGTTCGATCAATTCAACAGCTCGAGGATATGGTTAAGCCTGTTTTACATATAATCTGCTATCTATTTACTCTCTGTTAGTTAATAGAATTCTATAACCCAAACGTATAGGTCTTTGGCAGATTAATATGTTTGGAGATGATAAAACATATATGAACCAAAACCAAACAAAACCAAATGCCTGACGCAGGTTTCGGGGTAGGATTTTCGCATAACTTCTTTCAAGAAATGGTTATGCATTTCCACCTATTTCGATCATTTGTTTTGAGAACTTCTTTTTGACGAAAGTGATACTCTGAAACTTTTGCAAATTAATGTTTTCAAGAGTTATATTAATGATCCTCAATCCTTCTTAAGATGGGTAGAATGTATTATTTATATATCGTGTTACAAGGGAGGTGGTATTAGCATTGACCCTCACTAGACTGAGCATGGATTCACGGGTATCCATCTGCTATTGAGTATCTTTCTAGGCCATCTTTTGTCAAATAGTAGTTTGGAAGGCTTCAAATTCCCAAATCTTATGGCTTTTATGTGGTTGCCGTTCCATGCATAACAGGTTAAATACAAGCTAAGTATACAAGTTGTCCTGTCTTATGAAATTGTCTCTTAAAATATTATCCCCTGGTTAGGCTTGTTTAGGTTTTCTTCTTTATCCAACGAGTTCCAAATACTAGCATGTCCTTGCTGATATGTCCCAGTGGTAGAAGTGTGGGTGTAATCCATATGTGTGAGGTCCGGTTCGAGCTCGGGCAATGAGCATGCGCTGATTTACCTCTCCCATGATGACCGACCGAGGGACTGGTGTAATGGGGGAACCTCATAGAGTGGCATCTATCCTTTTTCTTTTTCCAAACGCTACCATATTTGTCTACAAATTACACACCATAACAATGGGGTTGTTTTGGAGAATAACTTTCTGACATGTTTCTTTGAAATGCATGACCTTATTTAGCTATACATAAAACCCAAAATTGTATATCATAAAATTAGACTTTCTTCATAACAAAATAGACAAACAGACCTTAATGTAGGATCATGGTGCTATAATTTGCCAACAAATTTGACCCAAGTGCAAGGAGAAATGCAATTTGTTCCATAAATTGTGGTAACACCTTGGATTAATACAGAAAAAAGCACTGGAATTTTGTTTTATTCCCTCCATCCCAGAATCATTTTATAGAAAGTACTTATGTTTGCAACAGGTTTCCACATTATTCCTAGTTTTGGAATGAGGGTTTTACAATGACAGAAGAAGTAGAAAGATTGCGAATCACTTCCCAAAATTTTAAGGAGTAAACAAATGATTGGAGAGGGATGCGGCGGTGGGGGGGGTAGAGGAAGAGGGGGTAGCTAACTTTTATATCAATTGATCTATTACATTTGAGAGCTCAGTAGCTTTTTAATATCCAAAAATTGAGTGTGAGGTAACTAGTTAGTAGTTTTGTTATATTTACTTCTCCATATCTATGTTGTATTTTATTTAGGACTTACCAAATGGGGAAGAGGCGTACTTTTTTCTTGGAAGGTAGGAGTAACAAGCTGCGCTTTTACATTGTACAAGATGGGACTGTTACAATGCTTAACTGTGATGTTAAGGTCTTTCTAACAAATTCCAAATTCTCATCTATTAATTCATTTGCATTGTGTAAATTAATTTTGGCATACTGTAAGCATTACTGATTTTTAAATTTGGGTATCAAGATAAAGATGTTGGTGACTTACGGAATCTTGAATGGGGATCATAGTTCTCATTTGAAATACTGGTTGGTGGTTAAAATTGCATTGCTCGTCTCTCTCTTCTTTTGTCACTGTCGCAGCAATGTAATGGAAAATGATCATCATATATTCAAACAAGTTTATGTGGGAAGTTATATCTTCTACTCATCCTTTAATCTATACACAGAGGGATGATACTGGCATTGGTGGTTCCTGGTCTGAGTTTCTGGAATACCTTGTTAATTCAATAAAGTTCGGGGATGTGAAGCTTGTTTTGGAGGGGCATCGAAAATCAGATGGTAATTAGTTATCGAGGATCCTTCAACATAATTACCTGGATACTAATGTGCTTCTTAATAATTTTATTGTTTCTGAAATCGTTCAGATTTTTCAATGTTGCATTCACTACTTCCTTCATTTTCTCTTTTTTATTTCATTTCAAAGAATGGTGTTCATGAATGTTTTCACAGGCCTTTGGATGAACCAAGTTCCAGACATCTAGATTCCTGTTGTTTATATTCTTGGTGCCATGGAAGTCTTTCAGTTACAACTTATTTGTTCCTCTAAGATGTGAAAAATCCGTTTGAAAATATACCATTGTTGTATGCACCGAAAGAATTGGTCCCAATAATGAAATAGAATTGATTTGTGCGTTCATTTAGTTGTTAATATTTGACTGAACTTTTCATCATTACTTTCTGTAGGGGGTTCAGAAAGTCCTTTTGTCTTTCTGCTGGTTGAGGCTGGCTACTGCCCAACCATGCTATTTACAATATCAGCTATTGTTGTGGTTCAAATTGCATGATCCTAATCTTCCTTGTTAGAAGGCATGATCTTCAAGATATGTTGTTAAATCTTTATTGCATTTACTAATGTGTAATTTGTCTAAAATTCAATTTGTATATTGTCATGTAGGTCATTCATAGGATGATTATTGGGCAATGGAACTTCACCTTGTCATGTAATTGATGTTCTTTTAAATTTAGGACCCGAATCTGCTAGACTAGTTGCTCAGAAGTCAAAAGGAATGCCTCGAATCTCTGTGTTTCTGCTTAGGCTTGTTGGCACTGCTGCAAATGAGGTGATGGCGAGGCTTTCTCTTGATCTGTACAAAGCATTTAAAAGCAGTCACAAACTGCTAGTTCAAGGTAATGCTTTAATTCTTTATACCATTTACTATTTGTCAAAGGTTTCTTTTGAAGTCTAATACAAGTTCACGATACAAAGTTCTGTTCTTCAGTATGTCAGTTTTTATTTTTGGATGGAGGTCCTAAACCCACCTCTGGGTTTGGTATATGGTAATGTCAGTTTTACCATTCTATACATTCCATTGATTTATTTCATTGTTAACTGAGTTCATGATTTTGCTATCATATCTAAGTAACAACTGAAATTCATACTTGTAAGACCTTTAGACCTATACGAAATTGCTTAAAAGCATGAGCTTCTATTTTGAAGCATTACGTACTATAATGCATGATGAAGCAAAGGAACTGTTACATAGAGAAGTGCTCTTTTATGTTAATTTAAAAAATGGGTATTTAAAAAAAATTATTACATATATGACCATGATCATCAAAGTATTAACCATGAAGTTGAATCTCTAAATAATGTAACTTCATTGAAAAGCCCAAAATCATACAAATCTGAATCAAATCTTCAAGAATTAAGAACAAGATGAAGATTAGAGAGAAATAATTGCCAAATTTTTCTTTGTATTTCTTGAGAGAGAATTACAGCACTAATCAGATTGATTACAGAAAGTTAATGACAATTACAAAGCTAATGACTATTTATACTAAGGAAAGCATTAAACCTATCTATTACAAAGCATATTAAAAATGGAGAACTTGAATACAATCTTTAACGCACATACTTGAACCCAACATTCTCCCCCTTTGGATTCAAGTTCGAACTCTTATAAATCTTGTCTTTCTGAGTCCGAGAATTGTCTCCAGCCTCCTTAGTGCATTCCGATATTGAATTTTTCTCCTCAAGTAGATTCAGGGCATTGATCAACAAATATCTATCTTTTGAACTCATCCTCTCCGACTCCGCAGCTTTATCATCATTAACTCTCCTTGAATCCAATGCCCGTCTCACCATTCGAATAGTCCCATCAGAGAATTTGTTCAACTCACTAAACCTCATAAACTTCTTTATTCGACCCTCAGCATCGTATATTACCCCAAACTCCGGTTGTTCAAGAATCATATAAAGCGGATAAGCTTTAATGTCTTCCAACTCTTGATTAGGTCTTTTCAAATTAATAATTCTCTGATTATCTTCAAGTCCCATTTGGACATCAATAACCATAGCAACTTTAACGTGACTGCGCATAAACCTTTTTATTGCACTAAGGGCAACAAGAGCTCCATCTTTTCTGTTTGTCATGTTCCGGATTTCATGGTACATATACTCCAGGTCTTCTAAATATAAGTTTAAGAAGTCAGCTTCACTAAATCTCCAGACCTTACCATCTTGTCGTATCACCGTGAATACCGGATACCAGACTCTGAGAAGTCTTTGAGCATCAATTTGTTWAATTGGCACWACTCGATGTTTGGTCCTTACTTCACTGATAGGGAGACATTTGGCTTTAAGGAAGTGCTTGTACTCCAAACGATATTCTTTGGTTTCCTTGTGGATACCAAGAATCTTATCACCACTTAGAGCTTTGCGATGCCGGAGGAAGATGCCAAAATAGATGTCTTCAAGATAAGGCTCTCGGATTCTAGCCTTGTCATATCCTGGAACATTGGCACGAATTTCAAAAGGCACATAATTCTTCGTAAAAATCTCGGTCGGATCAAATGGCTTTCTGGGAGTATCGGATGCACCGGCTTCAATTGCAGTGGATGGTTCCGGCAATGTCTGACGATCACCCTGAAATGGGAATACTGGGTCTTCATCATTGATGTCAGCTTCAAAGTCAAAGTATAACCCAGATGACTCGTCAGTATTCTCAATATCTTCTCCGAAATCTTGTTCTCCACCCAGTACAGTAGCAAAAACGTCATTAAATCATTGGCCGACAAGTCCAGTAGCAACCTTGTTCCTACCGTGGAGTCCGCCGGCTTTTCAACCATTTGCTCGATCGCTGGACTTGTCTCCAACTCTTCATCATCTTCTACAACTATCGCCTCAATGATTCTTTCCCTTGTAGATTCCGGGGCAGAACCTTCAACATTAATGTCTTGAGTAGCTGGCTCTCTTTCAACACTTAGAGCTGGAGCAGACGACTCAGCCACCTTTTGTCTTTTCCTCTCCCCCTCATGATGATCTGGATCTTCTGGGTCATCATGCCTTCGTTTGAGTGTGGTGGCCTGAGCTTTGCAAGTCTCTTCTAGGATAGATACCTTTCATCAATTGAGCTTTTAAGAACTTGGGTGTTTGATGTGATTAACTTGCTAACTTTGGTGAAGCTAGAAGCAACCACATCCTGAAAGGCCAAAAATTCTGAGGCTCGAACAGGGGGGGGGGGGTTNGGGGGGGGGGGTTTCATCAATTTGATGTCGCAGGAACCCAACCAAATCTGCATCTTCTGCATCGGGATTTTGGGATGCCATCAATTTAGCGTATAGCTGGGATTTGAGCTCGTACACCGATTGCTCTTGTACCGTCGTAGGCTCAGGTACAGGCGGTGGTGATGGCGCAGATGGTTGCTCTTCTTCTACTTGCTCCTTCCCCTTCAACAGTCTTTTGATACTTGCAATATGAGCATCCATATCGTCTTGAACAGCCTTTAGGGCGCCGTCCAGATATTCCTTGACACAAAGTCTAGTAAACTAACTCCTGGATCACTTAGATTACCAGTTGAGACAATAGTTGAGTAAACTGTTGTGCCTACGTTCAGTGTTGGCATAGTGATAGCACTGGTAGGACTTCCGACCGGTCCTTGTGGGAGGTCAATTGACACCACTCTGGTCGTTCCGGCTAGTTCACTAAGAACTGCAATTGTAGCAACAAATGCTCGAGACTCTTGTGTACCTATGTGTATCGGCTCTAGACTCGAGGTGCACAGAATCGAAGTCGTAGGCTGGGGCAGCGGCCTACTTGTTTCAATAACTACATTCTTCAAGTGAGAAGTAGATAGCAGATGTGCTAAGTCCCCGTGTTGAAATGAAACAGCTGGTTGTTGAGAACCAGTTGAGTGGTCGGGTTGGGTGTGCAAATGCATAGCTGGGCTAACTATGTCTTCTTCAATACCAGCATTCAGCGAATGAATGTCGATAGCAGATGTGGATGCCCGGCTATGTGTATCTGCTAGGAAAGGAGCTTGATCTTGATTTTGTGCTCCACTCACACACTCACCATATTCTTCTACTTCCCGTTCACTCAACCTCTCAGCATTTTCTATTTTATCTCCCTCATCTCCTCCTCCTACTAGAATATCAGACATGTCTTCCAGCATTCGATCATAATCATCAGGTCTGGCTCCAAAGTCATCAACATTAAATGATAAAGAATGCAGACTTGGACAAGTCTGTGGAGCGTCAAACTTTGGAAAGATCTCATCTATATTATCAACCATTGCTCCTATTTGAATATTCTGTGAAGGAATCGGTTGAGCATGGTTGTCAGCATCATCATCATCAACATTGTCATTGTCATCATTGTCACCCAGAGCTGCCTGATTGTCGGATAATGTATCTTCCGAACTTGATGAAGTTGAGGAAGTACTATCAGATGAAGTACTGTGCTGATCAGAGGCTCCCTGCTCTGTTCACCCCTCTCATTTACATTTTCCCTCATCTCACTGCCCTGTTCAGGTAACCCGTGTTTCTGAACTCTCTCACCTACATCTAAACCCTCTCTCTCAACTGAGGCATGGGGTGATCCTTGGGTAAGTTCAACCGGTTCTGGCTGAACTATAGGATCTATAACTCTCCTATAATCTATAACACACTGAGCCCTCTGATCAGCGAAGGCAAATAGCTCTGGTGGAATCTCCATAATTGAATCCAAATCTTCAACCTCGATATGTTGCCGAATTCTTGTCATGACGAACGTTGGCCCCATTTCACTATTAGTTCTGGCCTGGATATCTTCATTTGAGTTCATCATTGCTTTTATGAACAATTGCAGAAACCTTTGAAAAGGCACAAACTTTCTGGCTTTGGATGGAAATCTCTTTGCATTAACGAGCTCAACCAGTTCATTCCATATGACGAAGGCATAATCATAGTTGCGTGAAAAGACTATCCCGTGATAGAACTTCAGGAATGAACTGCTGCACGTGTCGATTCCCGCAGTTTTGGAAGTTAGGCATCTGTTCAGGATTGAAAATAGCAGATGCCAGATCGACGGTAGGAAACGCCGTTTGAATTGAGACGGGTTAGTCAACTCTTGCGAGTATCCTAACCGTTTGATGTCACGGCAGAGTTGGTCGTCTGTAACAAATGTCTCAAAACCTGTGGAGCCTGGTCCAGGAAGACGTAGAATTCTTCTCAGTCTTTTTAATGTCAATCGGCTGACATATTCATCTACGGCTCCTTCGAAGTAGAAAGTGTCACCGTCTTTGGCCAGTGTTAGGGTATTCCAAAACTGTTGTAGATACACCATAGGAACTGGTGTGTGGGCAGAAAGAGAGTAGGCAATTGGGTGTCCGCGTAAGATTTC